AATTTAATTACAGTTAGGTTACGTAGGGTGTTAAAAGAAAACAAATTCAGGTGTTGAGACCGACAGAGAGGACGGGAATAAAGAGTCGGAGAGAGGTGGGGAGGGACGTCATCCTTAGCCCACGTTGATGAAGTGAAAGTTCACCTAGCCTGGCTAAAAATAGTTCTGTAAGTGGCCCTCCTGTTATCACGCTCACGCGCACCAATAGGGTCTCGCATCAAAGCTGCATTCACGCGTCCTGACCTTTGTCCACTCTCTGGTTGCACGTGCAATGCGAGCTGCGGACCTGAATGCGCGTAATTTCCATCTGCAGTATTATGTTCAGAACCATTAAGTACACGCAAACCCCGGTATTTTGCACAATGACGAACCCCGCTGGATGCAGCGTGTCGTAAACCGAGCCATTCAGAGATTTCGCATCAATTCCCTCAGCGTGCCTTGCTCTGCAACAACTGGGTGCAAAATTGTTGAAAACAGAGAAAGAGGGAGAGAGAGAGAGAGAGAGAGAGAGAAAGGACACATGAAAAGCCTTTAAGCCTCACAGCCCAATGTTGAATGTGGCAACCATGGAAATTACTGAGCAAAATGGAGGCATAAAGGGATTTGTTTACTTTTGAAGTTTAAACGATGTTCCTGAGAAAGCAGTCCTCGGTTTCTAGCGGAAAATCAAACCGTTTAAAGTCATGAGAATTTCAAATGGACTTTCTTATATTTAAAGTAAAATTCAAATCCTAAAATACTTCATTGGTCTCAAAGAGGAAATTAATATTGATCCCAAAATATCTTGCTCTGCAATTTTATTTATTTATTTTTTAAGTGGTTCCACAGCACAGGCTCATTTTCTTTTGTGAAAAAGTCGATCACTTTTCACAATCTGTGACGTCAACTTAATTTACTTCATTCGTCATTTAATGAAGAGCTTTTTATTACAGCCTGACCATTGTTTTTGTCATTCCAAATCTGAATTTTCTTTCGGAATGCACCGATATGAAAATATGGGCTGATATCAATATCCGATATTAATATTACTGTTATGCTACCAATATTTACTGATGTTTTATATGTAGCGATGTCCTGATCTCTTATTGCTATTGGAAATAAATCCAATATAAGCCTAAAACGAGTATCACATTAAAATCTGCATATAAAATCTCTTATGTAAATATGTCGCTAAAAGTACTCCACTCCAGGATTTAGTCCTCACCAGCATTTCTACCACACTGCAAAATAAGTAATTAAAGTATGTTTGGTTTTTTTGGAGCAAATCACCAAGGCTACTACACTAAGCGTAATTTAATCAGATGTTTACATTAGGCATTGCTGTAATAAACAGAAAGTAGAGGTTGCAAACTAGCATGAACTATGAATGTTAAAATGTTGTTCTTTCATGTTTACATGCTGCCTGCATACATAGAGAAAAAAAGTGCAATTCTGATGACTTTAACAGCAAAAATGGCTACGAGTCTCGTGAGGTAAATGTTTGCTACATCAAAACGTACTTGGCAAATGTTTTTATCAACCTTTTAGCCTGTAAACTGTTTTTAAGTTAAGCCAAAAGCCACCTGAAGTGAGCGCAAAAACCTTTTTGTGAAGTTGAGGAGGTTTGCCATCTCAGAGGGTCAAAAGGTTACCTGTAAAGATTTTAACTGAAGCTAGTAGCTCTAGCTAGTAGCTTCAGTGTAGCTGTAGCTGGTTAAGAAGCTACAGCTGATTGTAAACTTGTTTTTATTCCAACAGGACTGGTGCTTGCTAGCCATTGTTTAGCTAATTGTCTTGGACTACCACTTCTTAAAACCTTGGCCTTTAAAAATGATGAAACAAGGAAGTTTGCTGTTTGAGAGATTGAACAACTGAGTTTTGCGAGATGTATGCGTAGACGAAGGTAACACAAATACTTTCTAAAAGAAGACAAAAGAAGGTAGGCTTTTAAAGCGACTGTCGTAACGATGCTAGCCGTTAGCATTTTGTCAGCACAGACAAGTGTCTGTTAGAGATCGAAAGGCTTGTGAAGATTGATAGTTGTGTACATTGACTTTTAAACAAACTGGTCAGAAGACAAAAAGAAATGCATCAAAGATAGCTGACAGTTTTTTGTGTGTGTCATAATAACTCAGAAACCTGGACTTGTGCAGTCACTCTGACCGTAGTCAGCTTAAATTCAGGGTGTCAAATTGAGCTTCCAGAAAATGCCAGACTGCTGATACAAAAATGACACGACAAAAAAAGATTGTGATGAAGGATATAAAAGAGCTGCAAGTGAAATGACAGGAGACGGATAAAACAATTATAAGCCGGAGAGGAAATTGGACACAGATTTTATGCTTGTTGTGACATGTCATGTGTGAATAAATGAAAGCACAATATAACCCTGAGTGCTCAAGAAGTCCCTGGGAGACGCTGGGTTTTCACCTCTTGTTGCTGCTCAACAATTTTAACAGGATTTCTGGATGTGAACTCTAATAATTATAAATGTATCTGTCATTTCTTTAGTTACCTCCACAGATGAGGTATATACTACATTTGCAGATTTAAAATCGTGCTTCCCACATATGTTTCGTATAATAAAAACCAGAATGAGTCGAGATATAATTTTTCTCACCATTTGTTGCTCAGTTCTTCCAAATGCAATATGCCACAGTAGCATTACCATAACATTTGACTGAAATCCTTTTAATTTTATCTTTTGTTATGTTAAGCCAGCTGAACAGGCACACAACATCACAATGCTCTGTTTATGAACAGCGACTGCATGAATATTAATGAAAACATTGATTCCTTGCTTCTAACTTCATGTTGAATTTGAATAATTAAAAATGTCTCCCACTCCATGCATGAAGCAGAACTGGAGATTTCCTTCAGCGACATCCTTTGTGCACAAAAAAGCGTGATCACAGATCCTTCCTCCCAGCAGGTGTCAGAATTCCAGAATTCCAAATAACATCACTACTGTTATTTGCACATTTCCATTTCTTAGTGTTTTTTTGTTGCAGAAATATACTGTAAATGCACATTTTGTAATTAAAAAAAAATTCTACTCAGTATTGCATTTCTTTGAATCTATTTTTAGCAGTAGATTCAAAGAAACTTGATACTGAAAAGCAATACTCAGTATTGTTTTTCTTAGGCTGTAAATGTGCTCTTGTTGTGTCTTTTCTTCTTTTATATTTATATTTACCTTTGTGTGAATCTACATGCTTCGGCTTTGAGGGACAAAGGTTATTTCTATTTTTTCCATTTCTAGTATCATGTGTAAACAGCGACCAAAATGAAAATTGAACAATGAAGATGCTTCATAAAGCACTTCTGCTTTCTTGTTGCTTAAACCTGAAGCAACATGTGGGTTCGTCTCATTAGGTACATGTTGAACTTTTTTTGTCCAGGTCATTTTAAGACGAGTGTTTGGTTGGCATTTCTGTACATTTACACAGTTTGTGCCAGTGCATTAAAGTTCCCGGGGTGTGTGTGTGTGTGTGTGTGTGTGTGTGTGTGTGTGTGTGTGTGTAGATGTGTGTGTGTGAAGGGCTTTCTCTCCGGTGGAACCGGCTAATGGCTTGTTTACATCCTCTCAAGTTTCGCGGGGATTTACAGTCCCTGTGTTGGCCGAAGAGGAAAAGGAGAGAACAACCCTCTTCTTCGTTTTAGTCTTCTTACCTCTTTCTGGGTTTGGTTTTTCTTTTTTATACATCTTGAACATCCTTTCTTACATTGTGGCACATTAACTCCTTTACATGATTTCTCCTCTCTCATTTTTATGTTTCTGGTCATTACTTTCATTGTGCTTGTGATTTTCTTGTTCTCCATCTTTTCTTGTCTCTGTGCTCTTTTATGCTTCCGATAAAACAGAAACCTTCCTGTTTTCTATTCAGTTTGGTCTTCAGTGTGCTCAAGGCATTGTTTTCATTTCTCATTTTTTATTTTTTATATGCGTCATGTTTCCCTGTGACATTAAAGGTCAAGCACCATTACAAATTGGTATTAGTGGAGCCCTGACGAAAGTGTTTTTACTCTACTTTGCACTTTTATAATCCACAAAGTCAACAAAGCTTAAACTATAACCGGGTGTAATTATCGTTACTCCCTTACGTAAGGTTTTAATTAAAAATGCCATTATAAAAAGGGGTGGCGTCCCTTTAAGGATCACGTTTTGAGCCTCGGGTGACAATTGAAGCAGTTTGCTGGAGCTGACGATCTGAAAGCGAAGCCACTGTTGCCCTTTACAGACAAAAAGGAGAAGACCGTTTTATGCCGCGTTTGTAGTAAAAAATTTCTGTATCTTTGTCAGTGAGGTAAATTCATGTGCTGCGCTTCCAATCTGAAATGAACTCTGCTGAGTGTGTTGCATTCAAACTTCAGAAGTTTATTATTATTCTGATACAGATACTGTATATGGAGAGAGAAAGTCTGGTGTTTCATGAACTTGTTAGAATAATTTACAAAAACATAAACGACTAGATCCTACTTCATCCACAAGCTAGCTAAAACAGTAACTCATAGTAAAATTATTTTTATTATTATTTACTATTTTCAACAATAGCATTGTACAACTAAAGTAAAATATGTAATTAACCCTTGCTGAATTTGGCAACTAATTTAAGTAGACATGCTAAATATGCAGACTATCATGCATGGTTTTAGCGACTTAGCTGGCTACCAGCACTATTAGCTTCTTTTGCTAGCTTGCACTCTGCTTCTTTACAGAGATACCAGTCTGACCAGCTGTCGTCTAAAAAAGTATTACATTAGTATCAGCAATAGGTGGCGCTCTGTTCATTTCCACACTATGAGTTTCCACTTATGTTATTGTAAACAAAGAGAGAAGGAGAGATGGGTAGTATAAAGGAGAGAGAACGGCAGGGCTCCATATAACCAGGCAAAGCTAAACATTGGTCACTGTTCAGCTTTCTCTTGAATGTTTTTCTTGAATGTTTTTAAGGGAATTTTTTTTTTTTTTTTAGCAATTTTGAAACCGTAATCTTGGTTTTACATGATTTATTTTTTTTCTTTTACCTTCTCATTGTGAACTTTTTTTTTTTAAAATAAGTTGTTTGACGGAGTAATTTTAATCAAGTGCTTTTTAAAGTAAAACTTTGCCGACCAGTTGATCAATGTAGCGTTTGTTCGTTGGAAGACTACACCACGGCTGAGTTACTTTGTTTCTTACTGGATGTTAATTTCTTTAAGACTTCTTGGTTCTGTCCAGAAGCGTAATTTAAATATGTCATTTCAAAATGGACCCATAAGAGGAGTTTTTAGCACAAGGCTAATAATAACAACAACTTGGACCTACCACTCAGCTCCACTCATGTACCTTCTGAATGTATACGTACACATAAGAGAATGACACCAATTAAATACATATTTTCCAAGCCTAAATCCATTTTGTGTTATGATACATAAAAAATGGGGCTGTATGTTTTCATGTGTGGGCAGAAATCATTGAAACTGTCGCTACACCCATCCTGTGGCTCACGACACACAGCGTGGATCGGCCCTCACAGAAAAGACATCAGCATTAACAGGACGCATTAACCATATGTTCCTCTGATCCCTTTCACCGCAAACGCTACAGCCACACACACAGCTGCATCCACACACACACACACACACACACACAGCTGCATACACACACACACACACTGCAGTGTCATGTAAAAAGGCTGTGAATCGCGCTGCTCTTTTGTGACATGCACTCGCTGCTGCAGCTCTTTGCTTCAATCTGCAATTCATATGAGCTTCACCTCAGAGCAAACATCTAGCAGGATTTAAGGCTTTTTGACTCTCCTTCATGCGCTGCACCAAAAGCTCTTCACAAGCTGGGATCGTGTGGCATCGTTATGGCAAATGGAAACGCCAACCAAACTGTCTGTGACTCGATTTAATGCCTTTTTGTCTTCTTCTCCAGTGTCCAGTAATTGGCTACCTTTTTGGATTGTTCAGATTTCCACTGGCGATGCGGAAGCAGTGGAAGCAGAGCGTTTCATTGGCTGCTTCGAGATGAATAACGTGCCTTAAACACATTACATTATAACAATTTGTTTTGGAAACCGCGATGATAACCGGGTTGTCTTAGTTAGATTATAAACGTAAAAATAGCCGTTTTCCAATCAAATAACACATTTGCCGGTCTGACACTGCGTGGCTCATCGTTTTCCACATCTTGTTGTGCTTGTCTTACTCGGACTAAAATAGCTGTCCCCAGATCGTAACCTTATTTGCTGGTGTAAATGTGTGTGTGTGTGTGTGTGTGTGTGTTCCCAGAGCCTGTTTTTGTTGTGCGTTATGATGTGATGAATAATAATAGGCAGGGGTGGCGTGTGATGCGAAACGTGCGTCGGGGTTTCATGCCTCAGCTGGCAGGAACTGAGCAGATATTTGTGTGACAGATGGACAAATTTTCATTTGTTTCATTTAGTGGTCGAAGCGGCAAACAAAGCAACAAGTTTGAAACGGGTTTGAGTAACGTAATTTATTACGTAAATAAAGGAAAGTTTTGAACTTGATGGAGGATCGCGATGTCTAGGCTAATATACCTGTATATCTACTTACTCTGCTTTGTCTTTTTAGTAGATTTTTACTTTTAATTCAAGAAATTAATCCTACTTGTCAGGCTCGAGAGTGGAACAGGAAGCTTGAGTACACAAGCAAAATGCACAGATTGGTGCAAATTACTCTCTTCATACACAAAACTGCAGAGTGTGCTTCCTGCCATGATGATAAAAATGCTCAGATTTTGACCTTAAGATGCGTAGAACATGTTGGACCGTCAGAAACTACAGGAAGCATCGAAACCGCTGGGACCTTCCCGTCACCATCATTGCCATCTTGCTCATTTGGCTGTTTTGTCAGCACATGCGCTCTAATCACACCTGAAGTCCACCTATTGACTGCGAGGCCCACAAAGGAAACTGTGGTGATTAGCCTGCGCACCGGCTCCTACTCCATCAAACAGAGCAAGGCGAGGAGATGTATGTACATGGTGGCGTGTTAGCATTGCCCATGATGGGTAATGAAGATGAAGTAATAGACCCATATCTGTGCCAGCATTATGAATTACATTGGATTGTGTGTACAGATAATGGAAAGTATCCAAAATGGTCTTTGCTGCATACGGGGGTAAATTGTTTCATGCATTTCCAATGTATATATATCTCTGCTGACTACAAGAAAAAAAATAACTGTTTGGGATGAAAAAGGGTGATTTGTCAAGAGAAAATCTGCTCTTAATCCTCTGTTCCCTGTTACTTGTTCATTCAACTAACACTGCATATCCATTCAAAGCTGCACTCTGCTCTCCATTTGTCAGGCAGCTGTTACCTGTCTAATGATCTAATGCAGTCTTCTATCATTGCTAAAGGGCTGAAGAAGCGATGAGCTGTAGAAACTAATAATAATCAAGCACTTGCTCTTAACATATTTATTTTTATTCATTTGGAGGTGCCGACATCTGACAGTTTATCTCCACAAGATATTTAGAAACAGATGCTTTACTTTTTTAAACATAGCTACTGGTTTGCTTTTGACAGAATGTTCAAATTGCACTAGCATAACATAACCCTGAATATAGCATAGCATAGCACAACACCACGCCACTAGCATATCATAACACAACACAAAACTAGCATAGCACATCATTAGCATAGCACACCACTAGCATGTCACAACATAACACAACACAAAACTAGCATAGCACACCATTAGCATAGCACAACACCACTAGCATGTCACAACATAACACAAAACTAGCATAGCACACCACTACCATAACACATTACTTGCAATTCCAGGTTATGGCCACAAAGAAACTATGTAAATGTTCATATACATAACTTAAACTTTTTGCCTTATCACTTTCAATACCCATCGCTTCATGCCTGCTTTCCAACTTGTCTTTGCAGTTACTTTTTTTTTTTTTTTTTGGAAGCTTAGACATATAATGGCAGCAGATAAACTTTAGCCCACTTTTCTCCTTGGACAGGAAGATGGAATCTTTCACCAAGTTGAGCCCACACTCACAGAGAGCTTACATTTTCTAAAAATATGAGCCCGTTTACGGTTTTGACCTCGGCGCTGTCAGCAGCTATTACAGCCTTTCAACCGGAAATTAATCAGCGAGGATCACATGCGTCCCGTTAGGTGGAAAGGTTTTTCTTCTAAGTTGCTCTCAGAAGTTCTCAGACCCAGCCAAGCAGAAAATAGGCTCTCTGTTTTGGCTGCAGCAGAGCTCCCAGAGGGCTTTAATGTAGCCCGCTTTAAGTGGAACAGTGATTATCAGAGCTATTAGCACGACTATTACCTCACGCAGATATTTAAATAACCGAGGTTTGCTGACGAGAACGCCCAGAGAGAAAAGTTTCGGTACGCTGGAGGTCAGCTGTGCGACAGGCAGCCATGTCTGATGGTTGACTGTCATCAGATCCCCTCCCTGACGCTGGCGGCCGTTCGGTTTTGAGCAATGGAAAAATGGTTAATGAAATTATTTAATCTAATAATGCATGCTTTATAGATACTAATGTATCATTTGCCTGGAAAATTAGATTCTTTAATGAACCATTTCTTAGAGAACATCCATCTAGAAAGGCGAACTGGTCCATGACGCTTAATTAATACAGACCACCATCCGTGTGGTCACACAGAGTGAGTTTAGTTTTTCTTTTGTTTTGCTTTGGCGGAAACGATGAAAAAACTCGCTTTACGACTTGGCATGATGCGTGGCTGTAAAATGCAGAGAGGGACAGTGTAATGATCAAGTCGAGGCTAATTTAATAGAACTTACTGATTACTGAGGTGAGAACTGCACTGCAGAATTTACTTTCGGTTCCTGAAAATATTGTTTTTGTGGATTTCTTTACGACTCTACACTTACATATAAATGTTGCAGGTTTAATTTATCAATCCTGAGCGACTTATCAGCTCTTTCTTTGTTCCCTTTTTGCTAAAAGCTCTGCAGTACTGGCAGCTGGTCTCGGTTTTGTAAAGTTGGAAAAACTTTCTGGAGTTCTTGACTTATTCAGGGCAAGTAAAGCTGTTATTTCTTCTGTGAGCAGTCTCGTCTTAAAAAACACAAAACAAAAAAAACGAGGGACATAATCTGTTATTGGAAAGAAATGTGTTCCCGCCCTCCTCGATCCGTTCTTGCCTGTTTTTTGTAATTTATTGCTTTCATTCACTTCAGCTCCCTCTCTACTCTGGGAACACAGTGATGTGCATCTCTCTAATCACTCAGTTTCTCTCCGTTTCTCCTGCCTGATCGTCTGTTTTCTACTTTTAAGAAAGCTTCAGGCCTCTGGTTTTATTTTTTCCCCCCTACCTTTCCCTCCCCTACTCTGCTTTTTTCTTGAGTTTCCTTTCCTATCCGATTTGTAACACTTTAAAAATGTAAACAGTCTTACAGGGTTGTTGGGTTTTCTCTTTTTCATTCTTTCTTTTTTTTTGTACTACTTGAACTTATCCACCCAAGACCAATGGAAAGTCTCTTGGCACTTTTACCAACACGTATCTGATGTCATTTTGATGGCTTTAGTGGAAAACACAATGCTTTAATTGTGTTTTTTAAGGTCGAGCCAAAATAAGCTGAATGTAAACGCTGTTTGATATCGGTTAAATCAATCCTAATTACTGCTATTTGAATTCTGGGGGATTTTTACTAAGCTCTAATCTTAAAAGAAAAAAAAAAGGGCAGGTCATGATGTCGACATTATTTCTTTGGTTTGTGGGAAAAATCTTTTCAGCTAAGCAAAAAATAAATAAATTAGAGGCTGGTTTGTGTATGTATCAAACTCCAAACAGAGAATTTTAACACCTTGGGAAAAAAACTGTTAATATCAACACCTAGTTGTTTTTTTGAGGCTCCCTGGAATCACACATCATATATAATATAAAGTCAGAACAAGGAAGTATTGGCTTATTAACTGTAGCATAATTCATAATAAATTAAGGTATAAAAATAAAATGTATATTTTGCGGCCACAAGTTAGCACATGCTACCATAGGAAGAAAAATCGGTTTGTAAGAGGAGCTAACAAAACAATGTTGTTGTGCATCAATTAAAGGCAGTGAAAGCCTTTGAATACATTTATAATCTGCATCTTTAACCTGGTTCTCTCTGATATGCTACAATCATACCAATATACTGTAAAGATGGAGACGCACATGAATTTAGTTGCTCTATAATTAAAATCATTTTCAAAAATTAAAAAAAAAAGTTTTATTTTTAGCCAAATGTTTTCTTCACACAATATTCTGCATGTAAAACAACGTTTAGCCAAAACCAGTCAATGATTTGTTCTTGTGGAATTTGTTAAAAATAAATAAACAAAACTCCTCGACTCTGCAGCGAATATGTTGTAGGTGTATTCTTGGATGTTAACAGAAAGCAAATAATCCCAAATTCATAAAATATTATAGATGAAACTGTAAGAAGGGATAATACTGATTCTCAGCTATTAAGTGTTTTAAATGGGGCTCCCCAAGGCTCTGTACTTGGACTACTGTTGGTTTTTTTGGTTGATTAAATGTAAACTGAACGTATAATTTTGCCTTATATTGTTTTGCTCCAACTTAGTAAATAAAATAAAATAAAAATCAAAGTTGGCTTATTTTGATTGTTTCTTTCTTT